GTGGGTAGCTGGAGTCTGGGCTCCTCCCCTAGCCCGAGAGACGGCTGGTGCTACCGGAAATGTGCCAGTCTGAGCAACGCTCTCCATAAGGCCCACTAGACGGACCAAAGCATCCTGGAGTACCGGGCTAGCGATGAACCCCTCTGGAACGTGAGCTCGCCCTGCCGGAATGGTCTGGGCCGGAACCTCATCATCAAACTCCACCTGAGGCTCGGTTACTGGTGCTGTTTCTCGAGCTCTAGGCTGAGCCCTTCCCTTATCTCGGCCTCTAGCATAGCCTCGGCCTCGTCCTCTACCCCTTGTAGGAGCTGCCACTAGGGGCTCGGGCTTCTGATCAGCTGATGAAGTGGTACGTGTTCTCGCCATCTGCGAAAGAACAAGAGTTGAAAGTTCGAATAGCATTGAGAAATCAAATCGCACAATAGAGGATAATAGATGTGAAGTTATTCCTACAATCTGTAGCCTCTGGGATAAGCACAGACGTCTCCGTACCGATCCCTCGGACTCTATCGAGCTTGTTCATGAATTGTGAGACCTAGGCAACCTAGTGCTCTGATACCAACTTGTCACGACCCGAATTTTCTACCATCGGGATCGTGATGGCGCCTAAACTTTAGAATGCTAGGCAAGCAAACAGATAAGGATCTAACACGCTAATCACTAACCAAAATAGTAATTAACAATAATTTAAACTAAAACAAGATAAGAAGTGCGGAAGTTTTATAACAATCTAAACACTAATACACGACTACCAAAGATCTGGTGTCACAATCCACGAACTACTAAGAGTTTCTCAAATACTGGTTTAAAGAATATACATTTCTTCTCAAAATGAAAGAAAACAGGGAAACTAGGATAAATGGAAGGGGACTCCAAGGTCTGCGAACATCGCCAAATCTACCTTGGGTCTCCTAATGGACTGAAGGCAGCAACCCAACTCTGGTCAACGAGGTCCGATACTAAAATTTACACAGGAAGTGCAGAGTGCAGTATCAGTACAACTGACCCCATGTATTGGTAAGTGCCGAGCCTAACCTCAGCGAAGTAGTGACGAGGCTAGGACACGACAATAACATGAACATGTGCAGTTAAATCATATACGAGAAAATAACAACGGAAATTTAACAGATAATAACGGGGAGGGGGAAAATATGCTGAGGGGAATATCAAATCCTGAAAATAGTACAGTACAGAAACATAATAAATATCATGATTTGCTCCAACGGAAATAATAACATAGCAAACATGTGCACGACATCACCCTTAGTACTTTTACTCTCGTCCTTACCATAAGAAACAACAGAAATGGCACGGCATCACCCTTCGTGCATTAACTCTCTCATAACATGGCACGGCATCACCCTTCGTGCATTATCACTCCCAGAATACGGCACGGCATCACCCTTCGTGCATTCACACTCACAAAATATGGCACGACATCACCCTTCGTGCTTTATCACTCACTTACACAACATTGCACGGCATCACCCTTCGTGTTTTACACTCTTCCTCTCCCAAACAAACGGAACAATAACAACCCGGCAAGGGAATCATCAATAACCAACCTCGTTTCAGCATTTAACTTCAAAATATAAATTTCAACTTGAGTCAATACTCAACCAATATCCAATACCAGGAAAACATAATAAGACTTGTTTAACATAAAGAATAACCAGTTTAAGCATGAACAATATGTATAAAGAAATACAACAGTCACAAGTATAAGACTCACTCGCATGCTATGACCCGACAACAACATATAGATACTCGTCACCTTACCTATACGTCGTACTCAACAACTAATCATATAGCAAATAAGGCAATAATACATAATCCCTCAAGCTAAGGTTAGCCACAACACTTACCTCGATTCCACGGCCGAACTCAAGCCTCAATCACCGTTTTTCCCTTAGTTTTCACCTACAAACCACTCGTATCTAATCATAACTAACTTAATAATATCAATTATCGCTAATGAAATTAATTCCAATGAAAAATTTCAAGTTTCCCAACAATTCCCCAAAAAAGTCAAAAACTGACCCTGGGCCCGCTTGGTCAAAACTCGAGGTTCGGACCAAAACCCATTCACCCACGAGCCCATATATGTAATTAGTTTTGGAATCCGACCCCAAATCGAGGTCTAAATTCCCAAATTTGGAAAATCCCCATATCTTCCTAAAATCCCTCGTTCTACCATGAAAGAACCAGATTTAGTGCTCAAAATCTAATGGGTGTTGATGGAAATTGAAGGAAATGAGTTGAAGAACACAAACCTATGAATTGGTGTTGAAATCCCTCTTCAAAATCGCTCCTAGGTCGAGTTACTGGACAGGTCTTCTTCGCGTTCGCGAGAGACCTGTCACGTTCGTGATGCACTGTGGCAAGAATGGACTTCCCGTTCGCGAAGATTCCCCAGCCCACCTCCATTTTACTCTATGCGTTCGCATGATGCCGGTCGCGTTTGCAAAGAGCAGCCCCTAGTGCTCCGCGTTCAGGACCAGGGCTTCGCATTCGTGATGAACAATCCCCTCCCCAGCCCAGGTTCACTTTGCGTTCGCGAGCGTTGCTTCGCGAACACGAAGCACAAAGTATCAGCATACCAGAAGGAGCAAACACGGTAGAATTTTTAAGGGTAAATCACCCCAAAGCCTATCCGAAACTCACCCGAGCCCTCGAGGCTCCAAACCAAACATGCACACAAGTCTAAAAATATCATACGGACTTGCTTGCGTGATCAAATTGCCAAAATAACACCTAGAACTACGAATTTAGCATCAAATTGCACGAAATATTTCAAGAAAGGACAAAAGTTCTATTTTCTCAACCAAAAGGTGCGAATCACGTCAAATCAGTCGCGTTACTCACCAAATTTCATAGTAAGGTATAAATATCATAATGTACCTGTACCGGGCTCCGAAACCACAATACGGACCCGGTATCAACAAAATCAATTATTAAACAAATTCTTAAAACCTTATATTTCCAGTTTAACAATTTTCATCAAAAATTCATTTCTCGGGCTAGGGACCTTGGAATTCGATTCCGGGCATACTCCAGGTCCCATATTTTACTACGGACCCTCCGGGACCGTCAAAACACGAGTCTGGGTCCATTTACTCAAAATGTTGACCAAAGTCAACTAAAATCTACTTTTAAAGGCAAAACTTAATATTTTCTCAAATTTTCACATAGAGGCTTTCCAGAAACGCGCCCGGACTACGCACGCAAATTGTGGAGAAAGAAAACGAAGCTTTGAAGACCTCGGAACCCCGAATTGGGTTCTAAAACACGAGATGACCTTTACGGTCATCACAGCAATCCCTCAATGTACTTGACCGAGGTTGTCGCGCTATTGTGGCATTGGAAGTGTGCTGACATGAGAAGGAGATATGCAAGATTGACATGTGGGAGCAGTTGAAGAAGGAGTTGAAGAAACAATTCTACCCAATGAATGTAGTGTATGAGGCTAGGCGGAAGCTAAGGGAGCTACGACAGACGGCCACAATTCTAGAGTATGTGCACGTGTTCACTACCTTAATGCTGCAAATCCCGTCGTTGTCCGAGGAAGATTTCCTCTTCTATTTCATGGATAGGTTTCAAAAGTGGGCAAAGCAGGTGTTAAGAAGGCATTAAGTAGCCAGCGTGGACGAGGCCATAGCGGTAGCCGAGTCGCTCGTTGACTTCAAAATGGAGCCTGCCAAGTCCAAATAAGGCAACACCGAAAGGGGTAGGGGAGATCATGACAAGGATAACGGGAAAGGCATAGCGGAGGTATACAAGGGCACTGGCAAGGGCCATCCCATAACGGATAGGAGTCCAAGCGAAACGGCATGGGGTCGAAAAACAGTAGCGAGTACGTGCATAAAGGAGGGTGCTACTTCTAAAAAGGATCACATCGGGCAAGTGAATGCTCAGATTTTGGGAGGCTTGCAGCAATGATTGGGAACTTCGCTCAAGCACATAAGGGTGACACAGGAGGGATCGCCTGTATTGGGCGGACGCACTTGGAATCTAAATCGAAAGTAGGGGATTCCAAAGCCTATTTTGGCACCATGCAAATGGAGCATGGTGGCATCAAGAAAAGTTGGGCGGACATAGTTGAAGAGGATGGCAAGTTACAAATTGATGCCACGCTATCAGACTTGGACGGTGAACCAAGCAGAGGGGTCAAGTTTTATAGCAAGGCTGTGACCGCGGAGGGCAGCCAAATAGGGAGTGGAAGCATGGACTCGATGATTCAGAAGCTGCTAGACTTGGTTGAGTCATGGGGAGATTCAGGCCAAGAGCAAGGAGAAACATCCGATGGGTGGAGGATTGAGGTCGTCATTGCTAGTCGTCCAAAGTACAAACGAGGCAAGAAGAAAGGTGACCAGTACCTTGTGACATGGGAAGGCGAACCGCTCCATAGAGCATCATGGCTAATGGACAAAGATCTCCGGCGATGCTAAGGCGAGATGCACACGTACGTGTCGATGCTTTGTGTCGAGGGCGGCACAGAATTGGATAGGGGAGAGTGTCATGGCCCGCCACATCATCGTGCCACGTAGGTGCCACTTGACATATATTTTTGCCCTATGGAAGGGTTACATAAGTTAGGGACTAGCTCTTGGTGGAATATTCTAGAACTATGGAGAATTTCCTTGGGAAAGCTCTAGACATTTATGGACTTGGTAGGAAGACTATTTTGGAAAGCCCTAGAATGTTATAGTCATGTAGAAAATTCTAGAGTGTGTACTTATTTGTAAATGTAGAAGAACTTGTGGAACAATTATTATTTACACACTAGCCCCTAGGTGATCAGTATAAATAGGATGTATTCATTTGTAACTCACCAAGCAAAACAATCAAGTTCTCCACAATAAATAGCTTTTCATTGGCAAATTTCTCTTGTCTTTCTTATGTAACAATCTCTTAGCGATCTTGAGTGTAGTATTTTAGGCTGACTTGGCATAACAGGATCTTGAGCAAGTTGTCAAGTGCCGCACGTGTTCAAAACTAAGGATATGACGCCAGGCTTGATAAGGACCGTAAATCTTTGATAGATCGTAAGCAGGGGCGGATGTAGTGTTCAATTTACGGGTTTAATAAAACCTATAATTTTCAACGTGGAATAAAAATTTATGTGTAAAAAATCATTAAAATTACATAAATAGTAGTTATGAACCCATAATTTTAAGCATATAATTCGTTCAATGCTGAAAACCTAAAAAGTTGAACCCATAAAATTTAATTCTTGGATCCGCCTCTGAATTCGTAAGGCTAATTGACGTGCTGCTGCTGATAAAGACAAGGGCACTAAGTTCACTACTGAGGATATCATGCAGACCGTTGATTATTATTTATCTTTTTTCTCTTCTTTTTTTGAGGTTTTCTTCTATTTAATAGTTAAAAATTAAAGTCACACCCTTTCATTAAAACTCCTAATTACACATGTTCCGTTAAGAAATCAAAAGTCAGGCCCAAGTATCAATTACATGGTAAGAGAAAGTTCCATATTAATTGCAGTTCATAACGAGAAAGGCACTGTTTCGAATTTTATATTCAAAACTTCGGACTTTTCAAATTCTAGCATTTAAAGGTGAAATCATCCTTTACTATTTAAATTCTTCCATCACAGGTGAAGAATGGAAATACGCTTCAAATCTTTCACCCTCTTTTTATCTTTTCTCTAATTCACTCGTATATATTTTTTAGTTGTGAGGCTACTTTGCTTTTTCACCAAAGAATTTTAATTTTGTTAATTATAATAGATTAGTGAATTTATTTTTATAGGTGATGGTTTATTTACATTTTTTTAGAGTGAATTGTGGTGCATTTGAAATGATGATCAAACAGATAATATAGTATACATATCTGATTTATTAATGTTGAATGTATTTCTCCTATGTATGACCCATGGACATGGTCCTGTTTTTTCCCTGGAAGAAGAAATGCTGAGAAATTGTTTGCTACGTCCTTTGCATGTTTTATAGTGTTAGATATACTGGGAATAGAATTGGTGATACTGTCACATCCCATAGTGTAAATTCTATTTATCTTTTGTCTCTATCTTTTTACTATTTCCTTACATTTTTTGATTTCTCTTATTTTAGAAAATCCACATACTATAACTCACATCAAAACTAGCATTAAGTCCAAAAAAAAAAAAACTATTAGTGAAAGCATAATTTAAATATATTGTAAGGTTTTTTTTTTTTTTTTTGGTTTTTTATACTCTAAGTGGCCTGAAGACGATCGATACCTATTATAAGGTATTTTGACTATGAGAATAATCACATAATACAAAATCATGACACAGAGATACTTCCAAGAAAGAATATGACAAGTTAATATTTTATATACGGAAATGATTAAAAAATAAGTAATTTAAATTGTTGTTATTTTAATTTGGAACAAAATAGTTGCAATATATGGAGAATTTAGATTGGATTATTAAAATCAGAAAGATTTTGTATTTTCCTTTTTTTGGTTTAAAAGGCTGGAATTGAACCAGCGACACTAGAGGCAACACTAGAGTATATTTGAACACTCTTCGCCACTAAGTTGCAACTCTAAACTGTTTAAAGCGTGCTTATGTTAGCAATTTGTATTCAAAATCAGTAAATCAACAAACGTTAGTGTAAAAAATAAAGCAGAAAAAAATTTCAAGCCCAGAAGTTTCTTATGTTTCCTTAAAAAATTTAATCCCCTCACAATGCCCAAGGTTGCGGATTAATTCCTCCCAGGATAAAACGGAATAATTATTCTGTGATAGCGGCACTTCAAAACACAAAATTTCGGCGAACTCAAATGGCGGAGCAAATCACACAAATGCTTATGTTTTGTTTTTGAAAAAACAATGCAGAAAGATTGAGGGGAGAGATTTCAGATTCTTCGGAGGTAGATCTGTGTATAGCCAACAAAGTTGAGTCCGCGATTTTCCAACGCGCGAAAATATTTAGAAAAGAAAATGTTAAATGATGGAAAAGAAAAATAAATTTGGTCCAAAAAATTATCAATATCCGAAGCCGGAGCCGAAGTCTAGCCGCGCGAGCGACGACGACGTCGCGAGGCACCACTTCTTCTTAACTCTTTAAGAGTTAGAAAATGAGCTTCTGTATATCTATACAAAGATTTTCTTTCCTTCTTTCAACGAAGGACAATATGCATTAGTAAAGTGAACTAATTCAAAATTTCATTTCCCTCCATTCCTTTCTCACCATTTCAATTCACACCTCTTTTATTATTAATATCAAAACCCAACAGTCTAATGTTTCAAATATATCAATAAAATATAGTAGAGTATTTAATCTATATACATAATATATAATTTCAATGGGTTCAAAATGGAAGGCTGCCAAAGAAGCAAGAGAAATATTCTTTGAAAGAAACATAATCGTTACTGAAAAAGAACTAATGCTGCAATAAAAGTTGAATCGTTAACAACAGATAACATACAATGTAATTATAGACAAAATATCTTCGAACAGAGCTGGAGCTTTTTTGTTGACTGTCCAAAGTTGAGCCCCCGATCTTCCAAACACGCTAAAATATTTAGAAAAGAAAATGTTAAATGATGGAAAAGGAAAATAAATTTGGTCCAAAAAATTATCATCCGAAAGCAAAGGCAAAGGCGAAGCCGAAGCCGAAGCCTAGCCGATCGAGCGACGACGACGACGGCGCGAGGCACCACTTCTTCTTACCTCTTTAAGAGCTAGAAGATGAGCTTCTCTATATATACACAAAGATTTTCTTTCCTTCCACCAATGAGGGACAAAGTGCATTAGTAAAGTGAACTAATTCAAAATTTCACTACACTCCATTTCTTTTCCCACCATTTTCTATTCAAACCTCTTTTTTTATTAATAACGAAACCCAACAGTTTAATGTTTCAAATATATTAATAAAATATAGTAGAGTATTTAATATATACATAATATAATTTCAACGCGTTCAAAATGGAAGGCTGCCAAAGAAGCAAGAGATATATGCTTTGAAAGAAACAAAATCGTTACTGAAAAAGAACAAATACTGCAATAAAAGTTGAATCGTGAATAACAGATAACATACAATGTAATTATAGACAAAATATCTTCGAACAGAGCTGGAGCTTTTTTTGTTCACGGTCCAAAGTTGAGTCCGCGATCTTCCAAACGCGCGAAAATATTTAGAAAAAAAATGTTAAATGATGGAAAAGGAAAATAAATTTGGTCCAAAAAATTATCAATATCCGAAGCCAAAGCTGAAGCCAAGCCGAGCGAGCGACGACGACGATGGCGCGAGGCACCACTTCTTCTTAACTCTTCAAGAGCTAGAAGATGAGCTTCTCTATATATACTCAAAGATTTTCCTTCCTTCCTCCAATGAGGGACAAAGTGCATTAGTAAAGTGAACTAATTCAAAATTTCACTTCCCTCCATTTCTTCTCTCACCATATTCCATTCACACCTCTTTTGTTATTAATAACAAAACCCAACAGTTTAATGTTTCGAATATATCAATAAAATATAGTAGAGTATTTAATCTATATACAAAATTTAATTTCAATGGGTTCAAAATGGAAGGCTGCCAAAGAAGCAAAAGAGATATTCTTTGAAAGAAACATAATCATTACTGAAAAATAACAAATACTGCAATAAAAGTTGAATCGTGAAAACAGATAACATACAACGTAATTATAGACAAAATATCTTCGAACAGAGCTGGAGCGTATTTTGTTGACGGTCCAAAGTTGAGCCCGCAATCTTCCAAACGCGCTAAAATATTTTGAAAAGAAAATGATAAATGATGGAAAAGGAAAATAAATTTGGTCCACATAATTATCAATATCCGAAGCCGAAGCCGAAGCCGAAGCCTAGCCGAGCGAGTGAGTGACGACGACAGCAAGTGTCACGACCCGGATTTCCCACCATCGGGAGTTGTGATGGCGCCTACTAATAGGAGCTAGGCAAGCCAATCAATCTAATACTTCTCTTAACAACATCAACAGCATAAAGAACGACGAGACAATTAATATGAAAGCGGAAGTCTCATAACATAAATAACTGAAACCAAGTGCGGAAGTTCAAATACATCTCTACCCAGATCTGGTGTCACTAACTCACGAACTTCTACAGAATGCTAAATACAAGGTCTGAACAAAAATACAGTACGGTCTGATCCGATACAAAGGAAATCAAACGAAAAACAAAGATAAGAGAGACTCCGGGCCATGCGGACGCCAGCATGGCTACCTCGGAAATCTCTGGACTGAAGTCAGCCCCCAATGCTCCTACTGCTGACCAAAAGCTCCGGCTCCAGTACTGTGATCTGTGCAAAAAGATGCACAGAGTGTAGCATCAGCACAACCGACCCCATGTGCTGGTAAGTGCATGGCCTAACCCCGGCGAAGTAGTGACGAGGCTAGACAGGACTACCAATCAACCTGTGCAGATACATATATATACAAGTACTACAAAATAACAGCGAAAAGTAATAATTAAGACTGGGAGGGGAATATGTTTTTGGGGATAACAGATAAATAGAACGGTAGGAATAAATAAGGAAACCACAACTGATCCCTTCCAACACAGAATACGTGGTCGGCGTGCCACACGATCCCATTTCATGATATATATATATAAGTGGTCGGCATGTCACACGATCCCATTTCATAATATATAAGTGGTCGGCGTGCCACACGATCCCATTTCATGATATATATATAAGTGGTCGGCGTGCCACATGATCCCATTTCATAATATATAAGTGGTCGGCGTGCCACACGATCCCATTTCATAATATATAAGTGGTTTCTCGGCAAGGGAACAAGTATCAATTCAACTATCCCGGCAAGGGAGAAACAACAATAACTTACACGTCCCGGCAAGGGCATAATTACACCTCTTTCTCTTTCGTTCTTTTCTTACTTCCTAATCATGTCATAATTCGAGCAAACGCTCCAAGGAGTTTACAAATCATATTTCCTCTTCATATTGTTCACATTATATAGAAACCATCAATTAAACAAGGAAGAATCACTACAGAATCCCAATAAGCACAAATAAGGACTCACGGTCATGCTAGACACCGGTGTATAGATACTCGTCACCATGCCTATACACCGTACTCAACATTTAGCAATTAGCAAATAATACCCTAATCCTATTCCCTCAAGCCAAAGTTAGATCAAACACTTACCTCGAATGCTCCAAACTCAACTCAAGCCTCTAGTATAGCTTTACCCCTCGGATTCACCACCAAACCGCTCGAATCTAGCCACAAATTACTTGAATGTATCAACAAATGC